AAAAAAAAGAGCATATTTTTGTCAGATCCCAAGCAGCATTTACCTGTAGCATATACTTGGCAAAGGATCTGATATATGAACTGAATAAATAAGAAATATAGTCTCCATTTCCACACATCACAATTCATAAAGGCTATCAATGGACATAAGTGAACTTAAAAAAAAGAAAGAAGGTACTAGGCATTTCCTTTGAGGAGCCGTTAAGGAACTTGAATACATCAGAATCACTGTTACAACCTGCGAACGTGAAAATGATCTAATGAGGCAGGTCCCGTCTAAGCCGATATGTGGAAAACCTTTGACTTTCACTTGAAAGGCAAAATTTTCAAAAAGCCCCAGCCCCGCACAGAGACAGAGCTTAACAAACACTAAGCTAGAAAAGAAACGGGTGGGGGGGAATCTTAACCCTAAATGCAACTATAAAGCACTGCTCCAACTCCAGGCAGCTGATTCATTTCTATCACCTGTTATGCATTCGTTATTGTGGATGGGGCCCTGGGAAGCATTATAAACCATTTCAATTCACTCATCCAGAAAATTGTTTATAGAGAGAGAGAAAAGGCTGCCCAGGGATTAGCAAGACAAGAATGAGGCCACTCCATGTGCTGCTCCTCATCTTTTATTGACTGTTTTCAAGTCACAATTCAGCAAAACAATTAAGCACAAGCTTAACAGCATCCCCCGGGGCACACAGAAGAACTTCAGCATTGCTTCGGCATGTCTCTTAGTCTGGACCTGACTGAATATTATTTTACCCGTATGCTTAAATTTTAAGCATATGCTTCAGTGCTTTCCTAAACTGGGGCCTGAGGCTGCTCTCCCATTACCATTCATTTGAGTTTTGTCACTGGCCTGTGTGAGCAGGATCAGATGTGAAGTTGTTCGTTAACCAATCTGCAAGTCAGTGCTGGAGTGATGGAAGGGGACAAATCTGGAATCAGTTATGGGGACCAGAAGGCTCTTTTGCTTTTACACAGGTGAGTATCTGGCTGTTTTTCAGCCAGTGTTTCACAATGCAAGAAAATGGGTGGTGGGGTACAGGGGACCATGCTATACAATACCGCATTTTTAAAAATCTGCTTGGAATACGGGCGTTACTTTGGGCTCGCAGTATGGAGGATATGTCCAAGAAGGGATTTCAGAGAGGAGTGCGAGTCAGATAAAGACCAGACCAGACCACCTTCTTCAGCAACTTTGCTATGAATAAAGCCAGGACAGAGTTCTGACACTAGTGCATGTTACTGCTGGATGGCTAGTGTCTACAAATGATCATATCTGGATTTTGATGCCTAGCAGTTGGAAACTATGCCCAGGCACTTAACTGAAAGCAGCCATGTCTTCCAAGGTGCTGAACCTCCACAGCTATTACAACTGATGTGAGGTGTCCAAACACGGATGGCAGTGGCTGACAACAGATAACCGCACTTGAATGTTCTGGCTTGTGAGTCCTAAGGTTTCATGGCCAGCTGCCACATTTGATCATCACTTGGGATATGTTAAAAAGATTGAAACTGTGCGATTGAATTCACCATTCACTTTAGGGGGGATTTTCCAAATTCCCACAACTGGGAGTTTGAGGCTCAGGCATCCAGTGGAGCCTGAACGCCTTGGAAAAATCTTCCTCTTTACCTTGGTTCTGGAGCATGTGGGATTTTAGTATATGCAGGACATGGAGCAGAGCCTCAGCTGATATGATTCATGTTAGTACCATCAACTTCCAGGTGCCTGATCCACAGCCCAAAAGGAACAGCTACCTTGACATCGAAGCAGGTGCCAGTTGAGAGAGGAGCCAGTGCATTTGACTCCAGGAAGAGGAAAGAAAATCTTTGCTGAAATTCATTAAAGGGCCTGCAGGTATGTTCTGAAGAACTAAGTGGAAGCTAAAAAATTTCAGAGAGAAAATACTTAAAATAATTATCTCCGCACAACTATTTGACATGGTGTGTGGCTGGTATATTATAGGAAAAAGTTAAGTTGTTCACACTTGTGCATTATTGCAGAATCTAGCAGAGAGCAACAAATGTGATCAGAGGCCTGAAAAGTATGACTTATGAGGAAAAGTTGAAAGAGCTAGGGTTATTTAGTCTGGAGAAGAGATGAGTGGGGTTGAGGGGGTTGGAGATTTGATCATAATAGTCTTCAAATACCTTAAGGGCGATTACAGAAAGGATGGAGATGGGCTTTTCTTTGTGGTCAATAGGGGACGGGGCTAGAAGCAATGGTCTGAAGCTGCAGCAAAGGAAACTGAAGTTGGAGATTAGGAAGAACTTTCTGACTACAAAGGTGGTCCAGCACTGGAACAGGCTACCTAGAGGAGTGGTGTAATTGCCCTCCCTGGAAATTTTCAGGGACAGGTTAGACAGACACTTGGGTGAGGTGGATGATCCTGGCTTGCACAGGGGGCTGGACTAGATGACCTTGTGAGATCCCTTCCAGCCCTACTCACCTATAATCACTGATTTTTTTTTTGTTTCAGGGATCAAATTTGACAACTGGTTTCAGAGTTTAAAGTTAAAGAATATCCGATATTGAGATCTGTTATGCGTTACAAGCAGTTTTATACTCCCAGTTAGCATGAAATGGTGTCATACAATACATTTGTAACTTCTCTCCTTAAGTGAAGTGAGGAACTCATCGCAACTCTACTTAAGTTTCATTATTGATGCCTTTTCCACATAGCAACATCACAATAAGCTTTCTATGGGTTTCTTTCAAAATGCAGTAACTTCTAATATTCACTGCAACTGGTGCAAAAATTTCAGAGGAAAAAAATGATTTTTCTGAACAACTCTGTCCCTCTAACTTTCCACTAGAGAGTGTGCTGAGCTGGAAGGTTTGAATACCTGCCTCACATTGAAACTGTCAAGCAGAAATGCAAGAAACCTCAAAGACTGTTGCAGTGCTCAACAAGAAAGGGAAGAAACCCAATTGTGGTAGTGGTAAACCTATGAGGGTTTTCTGTTAAAATCTCTAGCTACCATCCAACCACAAGAACTGTCAGATACCTCCCACGATACACATTACAACATTTTCCTTCCCTACATACAGCAAAGCTAAAATAGCCAGGATGCAAGAAGATTGATCCTTAAAGACACTTCCTCTGATTTAGTTACAAGCCAGACACATAAAAAAAAAATGTGTTACAGAAAAATTGGTGTGCATTAATATAAATACCTCACCCGTTGTTTCTGTTGGTAAAAAGGGAGAGATTCAAATGGCTGCCAGGCAGTCAGGTCCTAGCAAAGACAGCAGAGCTCAGGCCTCAGTAATCAATGAGAGTGATGGCCATGCCATATAGGGAAACAGAAAATCTGCACGTTTAATAAACTTCCTGTTTCTTTTCAGGGTCCTTTACATCATGACCCACAGTATAGCCCATGCTTTGGTGTAAACTCCTATGTATTAGCACATTGACTTTGCAAGGTATTGAACATCACGACTGTTTGCTGCTTCTCCCCTCTGCTATGTATTCCACAAACAACTGTCCAGAAAAGGTGAAGAACAAGCAGCAGAAGGGGATAGAAGCTGTTTTTCTAGGGTTCTGGAGAAATGTGAAGGCACTGTTGGAAAAACAAAACATAAAACAGTCTTCTGCAACAGATCCCCGGCAGATATGTATGAATTTAAGGAACTGTTTTGGAATAAATGTCTCACCCATCTCACAATAAAACCCGAGCCGCTAATATTTATTATTAGCCCAAACAAAAACAGAAATCGAGTTAGGGCAGGGTTCTAAAAATGGTGGATGGCCGGGTAGATTTGACCTTACGGACTAAATCAGAGATACATAAGCTGTTGTAAGCAGCAGCTCACTTAACCAGCCCTCTTGAAAGCTTATGCATCTAGTCTATACCCATGGTTCTCAACCTATGGCCCGCATGCGGCTCAATTGGCACACTGCTGCAGCCCATGTGACATCCTGTTAAATGAATACATAGGAAGTAAGTTGTGTGGGTGCGGCCCACACAACACATCGAGACCTGCAAGCGTGGCCCATTGTGGCAAATAGGTTGAGGACCACTGGTTTATACGGTGCAAATCTACTCTGCCTTCAACTTGACTTCATACTAGCACAGCTCACGCCCTAGTTCTGCAAAATGCTTCAGTGATTTAGGAAATAGGCCCACTTGAAGGTATCGTACTTCCAATTCAGAGAAGTCTCTAGGTGAGCAGTCGTCCAAACCAGCAAGTCAGTTCTGGGTTAAGCTTCTAAATGATAGAGACAACTTCCAGCCCGAGGAGACTAATGTGGCTTTAAGCAACTTTGTGGTTCCAGACTGCTCAAGAGACCTAAAAAGCTCCCAGCATAACTTTGCCATGGGAGGTTACCCGGCGTGTAGTGCTGCCCAGGACCACCAGAGCTGAGGCCTATTCCTGATGCACCTTCCTGCCACCATCACACCTTCTTCTGAGATCCTTGCAGGACAGTCTGTAGCTGCCTTCCTCAATTTCTGGGCCAGGGGAAATTCTCTCTCAGGTGGATCTATCCCTCCCTTAAGCTGCTGCTGCAGCCTTTTTTACCCAGTGAAAAGGAGTCAAGCCTGGGTGAGGTTCTGCAAGTTTCGTGGAGTGAATATTTCTGAGCATTTTGGAAATTCCCACTGTGTTGGCCTAACTGCTCCCACTCGCTCAGTGGTAAAATTCCCACAGCTACCTGTGTAATAAAAGCAGTTAGGTCAATCCTGAGTGCTTCCAAAAAATCTATTTTCCACCTTAGTGGAAGAGATGAAGTTAATCTGCAGTAAGATTAACCTCCTTAATCCATTCACATTCCAAAATGATCACACTGGACATTCAGATGCTAAAAGAGGAGCCTTTAGTGATAAAAGAATTGAAACGCTTTAGCTGTATTTGTGTCCTGATTATATTATATCTCGTTCCCCTTACAGATAATTACGCTTCTAAATTTTTTAATAGTAAAAAAAGAGAGACCAAGGGCATAAAAGAGACATTTTTAAAAAGAAAGATTCCCTTCCCGATAAGCAACACGAAGATGTTTCTTTTTATAGACATCTTTACATTCCAGGTTTATTCAAGAGACATTACTTACAGGCACATAGACTGCAGGTTTATGTTCCGTAGATCTTAAGAACGGTAAAACACTGGGAGCATGAATCAGTAATAACCCTAGCAAACAATGACAATGAGGCTACAAAAAAGAGTGATTTCGTCTTGTAATACCAAAGTCCTGGATTTTTAAATCCAAAAATCTTTAATATTGAACTAAGCCATTTACACCTAGAACGTTTGGTACAATGAAAGTTCATTAAAAAAGCCCACACAACACAAGATGCGTAGAGCAGCAATTTACCTATACTTGATATCTGTGACATGGATGGCAAGACAGAAGTAACTGTACACCTGAAAAACGTCACATTGATGGACAAAGGAATCTTGTGCTTCAGTATTTTGACTGGAAAGTTTCTTTATCCAGCATGAAGTCTGCAAATCGCTGCTGGAGCTCCTTCTCTCGCTCCTGCTGGCGCTGCACATCTTCTTTTAGACACTAATGCGGAAACAGAATGAATGACTGGTCAGTTCTCCCCAAAGTTGCACTAGCATAACCTGGACTAACCTGCACTACATTTGGTGCCCTAGAGAGCCAAGATCGATGGCTGAGATAGAAGAACTATTGGGTTTGTTTAGAGAGACAGGAACTGCTGTGCTGGATCAGAGCCAGGGACCCTTAGATCCAGGATCCTATTACCAACAATGACCAGCACTGGATGTTTCACAGGAAGGTGCTGGAAATTCCTGCTAGTCAGATGTGGGATGCTCCCCCTACCTCATTAGGTCACCTCCTAATCCCTACCTGGATTGGTTTAAGAACTCAATCATGACTGTATTATCCAATCTCTTTCTGAATCTTGCTAAAGTTACACACTATGAATTCTACAGTTCGGTGAATGAATTCTGCAGGTCAACAATGAGTTGTACAGAGAAAGCTTTCCTTCTACAAGTTTTGCAACTGTTAGCGAAATTAGATCATAAGACAGCCTGTTCTCATTCCAGTTCACACGGCTCAAAATATCTCCCAAATACCGACTCCTACATACTTAACTACCTCCTCTGCACGTATATGACATCCATTCATCAGCGAGTGATGATGGACACTGCAGCTATTCTACTGGCTGGTGGCTGCAGGTCCGGCCACAATGATCACAGATGTACATGGCATTAGGGGCTACCGTACTGACCGGCTGTTTCCTTCAGTCACGTTACTGTTGCAATTTGAGTGAGCATTTTTCATCATGATGTTGGACTGCATCTATCTATCCTAGACAATGGCGAGAACATCTAATGGTCACCAGGTCCTATAAGGCTGGGTAAACATTATTAGCCCACAATGACACTGGCGCTGCTCCAAACTGTAGGGCTTGTCAGTGACTAAAACTTAACTAACAGGAGCACCAAGGTCCAGAGCAGAGCCATTCAAGAAGAGGAAGGAGTCTAGTCACTCAAGCATGACAGTAAAAGTCATGCTAGCAACAGTTTTCTTCAGACATCAAAATCTGGTCATTTAAGCACCTCAGAAAGAAAGGGGGTATTTCTGATGATGGGACATGACCTGTTTAAATAAATCAATGATGTATTTGAGACTTCAAGACCACACACACTGCAGATTTCGGACAAAACAATTTGGAAAGGCTGCAGAAAACTTGCAGCTTGTTGAGTAAAGCTTTCTATTTAGATATGTAAATACATCCAGTGATCGGAAATGGTCTTAAATGGGCCCACTGACAATGCTCAACAAAACTGGGGGCAATTAGAGAATGATCTATAGTTTAGCACCAGCTGTTTAAAGCATGGTACAGAAAAGTAACTCCATACATGAGAGATGTATTGGTGATGATCCACCTTTCCTCCTTCCTAATGACTTCCATATACAGTTGGCTTTGTTGTAAAATCAAAGCAGGGTCTTTCTAATTGTTGATACTGCACACACACAGCTGGGTAGCTGAAAAAAAATCAAGCTGTGTTCTTCCTGCTTCATACATCATCTCCTACTATAAAGCATTTGGAAATAAAATCTTAGCTGATTTTTTTTCTCTAAATACAAGAGGGAGAAGAGAGTATGGCTGCTTTTCTCTCGCTTAATCAGCTCAGAACGCCACGAATCCCAGTCCACCATTTTCTTCTCTCTCTTTCCCACAAAAGAAATCAGATAATTATTTGAAAACTATCAGTTTGGGTCATTTGGTAGATCAGCTTTTGAAGCTAGCCAATGAACCTAGAAGCCAATTTGAAAACAAATCCCCAAAATGAGGCCCCTGCTACACATTACATGTATTGCGCAGTTAGCTGGTTAAATGTGCAATAAGTTTAGACTGGCCACATGTGCAAACTAATTAACACACAATAAAAAATGTCTATCCTGGCTATAAACAGAGACAACTAGCTAAAAAGTTAGAGCTTGAAAATACATAACTCTGGTTTCTACCTAGCTTTTATCTGACTGTGCAGCAGGGCCCTAAATTAATGCCAGGCTAATTTATTTCGGCTACAATCCAGAGATCAGTAGGACTTTGTCTTTTTAAATGACAAAGCCAAAGTTCAGGTGCTTTCCAATGGCCCAAGAATATTCTCTTTTCCCAAACTGTCAGTGTAATGCTGCTTTTGCCAGACATCCTTTCCTACCGGAAACAATCCTCGCCAAATGTTTGGTTTTTTTTTTCAGTTTCTAGCATTAATTGAAGCAGTTGCCTAATTTCTAGTAAGAGGCACTAACAGTAAAATACCCATTTTGTCATGGGTTATTCTACAACTTTGCTTGGTATTGAAATGCGACTGTAACCTTAATAAGACAATAAGAAGTTTTAACATTCAGAAAAAGAACACTTATCTCAGCTGTGTAAACTGCCCAAGCTCCACTTATGTCCATGGAGGTATGACAGTTTACGCCAGCTTTGTCATTTGTTCCACTATACCCTAATGGAAACTACAGATAATGAGGGAACATTTAACCTATGCTAAATCTGTTAGGAGATTATACATACACAAACAAGGACAAGGTGGGCAGAAGGAGAAGCAAAAACCAGATTTGCCTGAGCTTTTAATGTTCAGAGGCTCTTGGATGTGACAGGATAGGGCAACAAAAGGAGAAGCTGTCTTAGGTATTAGGGCTCCATGAAGCTTCAGTCGCTGATTCGATTCAGTGGAGATTCAGCCCGATTCGGTGGCTAAATCTCCGTATCCGGATAGAATTAGGAGATGCTTTAATCTCTCCAATCAAATCGGAACCCTCCGACTCGATTTGGAGAGATTTAGAAAGATTCAGTGATTTGGATATAGACACAGCTTTAAACGTTTTTTCTACATACCTCACGGTACCAGGCATGGCTTGTGAACACTGCAATGATGGGGCGGATGGAGCGTCCCACAGGAGTGCAGAGGGGTCCCCAACACG